TACAAAGAGCCTAAGTTTTCTTTTGTCGCTTGCTTCGTTTTTCTTTAAAAAAAAAAGATTACATTCATATAATAACTAACAGCGGCTATTTAACTGACAATTGCATCCATACACCTTAGATTCATTACAAATACTTAGATAAGTTAGAAAAAATGTGAATTGTACCTATAGCGCAATTGACACTAAAACTTTAGAGCGGGCGTACACCTTTGACTAAACTATCGCTTAACTGTTGTACGATTTTCAATTGTTTCTTAGCCCATTCAACGGTTTAGTTGCAATAAATATCGAGTTAGTATGCGCACCTCGATATAAGCGGATAGGAATCAAGGCGAGTTAAAACTTAACGTATGCAGTGCGCCTAAAATGGGTGGAAACTCAAGGACTACAAACAGTGTCTGAAAGATTAGCTAATGGATATCAGACATCGAAGACAACATATCCACTAAGGAATTAAGTTTAAACGTTCAAATATCTCTTAACAGAACTGAGAACATGAACCCATTCGGCGGACGCAGCGATCCGACCAATCCTTACCAAATTACTCCTCTCCATTTTCTTCATTTAACAAATTGATGGTTCGTGTACACATACAACTATGTCACACTAAAATGAATCCTAATGAAATAAGCATAAAGTCGAAAATGCATTTCAAACGGTCAACAAAGCACTCGACCCTCCCGGAGCGGAATACGCCCCGAGATAAGGTTGAATTTGGGTTAATGAAGTGCACTTAGAATTTTTAACCTTAGCAAACAGAACTTAAAGATCATAATTGTTCGAGTATTCGGGGTGGGGTGTGTAGGGGTGTGGGCAAGGGGTTGCGGTCCAAGTTTGTAATTAATAAAGCCCTCTCAATTACAAGTGCCTTTCCTCGCTGGATTCGGGTGCGTCGGAATATGAGAGCGCTGCGGTTAAAGACGTCTGGAAGGAGTTCAGATTTATTACACGATGACGTAGGGGAACTTGACTCTGATGCAAATTATATTCTCACTAATATCATCAGTCGATTTAAATATCGTGGGTATTTTATTAGTAAAATTAGCTTTCGCCCGCTACTCCGTCCGCGCGGATGTAAAAAATATGTGTGCCTATGTGTTCTTTCAGACTATCCTCTACATCTATGCAAAATTTTATTGAAATCCGCTCAGCAGTTTAGGCTACAAACTCTAATAAACAACCATCCAACCATCCATACATCTAAACTTTTGCATTTGTAACATTAGTATGAAGTATTATTTAGGCTAAAACGTTTTCTCCTGCTCGAGATCAAAAGGGCAAGTTAATCACGTATGACAAATTAACATCTTTTTGTTTTAAAAGTAACTGTTTCACCAAAATAATTCCAGTGCATATCCAATGTACTTAGTGTGAACAAAAATTAGGATTAAAAACGTTTTGGCATTTGCTTAAATGTCGAGAGTTTTTAAGCTTTTGAATACATTTGGACTATAATTTTAACGGTACTGGCAAAGGTTATCCCAGAAAATGTTAAAATGTATTTTTTTTACATTAGTGAATTATTTTGTTTAATAACGTTATTTTAACTTTGGAATTGCAACGCATGTTTAGCTACTTTCAGAAAAAAAAACAGCAAAACAAAAAACCTTTTTCCGGATATCGTGTTTCCCAAGCTACCAGGATAGCAGGGCTTTCGGCGTCGGCACAAATCCGCACAGCTTACAAAAGCTCACAACTTTACCACGTTGCGGTGGATAGTGGTTACTTTGCGAGGACATTTTGTGAACTTTAAATTGTATTTGGTATTTTTAAGAGTTCTTTGGTATTTTTTTTAAGTTTGAGGGTTTAAAGGATATTGTAAAACGTCACGTAACACACGATATAGTCTAAGGATGAATGTGTCCTGGGAAACTAAGAGTATATCCACCTTTTAAACACTGATATAATACTCAAAATAAGAGCGCACGCTCATAACACTAAACTATCGCACAACTGTTTAGTCGCACTTTGATTCCTATAAGCTTATATGGAGGTGCGCTACTCGATTTTTAGTTGTGCAACAAAACAGTTGATGCGAAACAATTGACAATCGCACAACACTTTATTGCAATAGTTAAGTCAAGGGGGTATAATAGAAAACATCCAACAATATAGAAGCTGTTATTAACGACTTAAATGTCAACGAATAATCTAATAGTGCTTTTTTATCTGCGAGTGTAAACGTATTTATGTTCCCGTAATGAGCACGAGTGCCGCTAATTGTCATAGCAAATAGAAAAGTGCTTGTTGAGGCAACTATTGCTTTACTGATTGAGTCATTTGTTGATAGATTAGTAACTGAACGAACAAATGAACATCTGTCTTTGGTGACAGACATTAATTAACGTCTATTCTCTTCTATTTGAAAAGACACTATAACTGCGAAAGTTTAGATAAATGTTAGAGTTTGCCTAAACTGCTGAACGGATCTTAATTATTGGTAGAGATGTAACGTACAGCTTAAAAGAAGACAGAGACTACTTTCTTTTGTTTTTTTGTTAGTGTTTTATTACAAGTGTTTTTGTAGCGGTATCTTACGATCATAGATTTTTTCTTTTATTTCTAATATGAAGCTTGTTTGCGAGCAAGCGGCCACTAGAATTATCTAAAATAGTGAAGCAACCGTTGTCAATAGACGTCCGTATTTAGTTCTAGAGTTTTAAAAAAGCGACCCCGTACTGTAATTCCATTGTGCTTGTAGCCGATGCGGTTGAACCGATTTTGAAAGTGTTAATACGAAAGTGTTCTTTACATTAATAACTGGTTTATCATCATCATCTTCCCATCCTTATCCTATTCCCGTGTCGCCGCAGGATTTAGTTCGCCAGGTTAATCTATCTAACGTCTTCTCAGTCGCTCTATTTTAGAATGTCACCTTTCACGAAATCCATCTTTTTACGGCTACCTCTACTGGTGTGCCCGCTAGTTTATCTTTATGTGAAACTAGCTGTACCCGTGCGACTTTATCTGCATAAAATTATGAAAATTTAATTTTATTGTTTACATGTGACATATTATCAATTGCAAATGTCAAAATGACATGACATGATGACAAACCATGGCAACCTTGCTTCCTTGATGTTGGCATCAACTTATGGTCTCTTTCCACATTAGGGTTTTTATCCAAAATATGTACGCCTTAAGTTTAATGGCGTGAAAATATATAGCCTAAAGCTTGACGTAAGTGTAGGACTTTTATTTAATGGAAGAATTATTCAAAAAAATGCTGTGATTGAAGACATCTCACGCCACAAAGTAGTGTGTGTTTACGCTTTATTATATTAGTATAGATAACAGCTTTCTTCATAGTAAAATTATTAATTCACTTTTATACTTTCATAAAAAACGGCAATTTATATCACATCTGTTATTATACTATTAATTAGTTCTAACTGTAGACGACCGATTTCGTATTTAAATGATGTTTTTATGCCTCGAGCTATTTTTAACTTAATTATAAAGACGATAAGTATTAGTTTTGCTTGTGATAATTATTCATCAGGGAAAAGCTTTGCAGTTATTTGAATTTGAACTTTATTTCGTAATAGTTAAAGTGCATTTTAAATAAACTGTTCTTAGATGTTAAGTTTGTATTTATATTTTGTCCTTAACTGTAAAATTAAACTGTGGAGTTGATAGTATGGAAAGGGCTATAGTAAAGCAAGCCATAAACTGCACTGAACACGGTCTTTATCGTATATCAGATACGAGGTATGGCCGTCCTTAAATAGTTGTTTGCGGTTATATTTTATTTATAGTTTTTAACATGTTAATCTAAAAATGGATTTTTTAGTATTAACGCTTGTCAAAACATTAATAAATAACAATGATTTATGAAGTTCTTCGTTTGTTTTTGCGCAATTTTAATATTTTTTCAAATTATTTCATACTTGAAGTATATTACCCCGGAAACAAGAACAACAATTAAAGCATTACGAAGTGCTTTTAAGTATTGAAAACATAAAAACACTAGCTGTTGCTTGCGACGTCGTCCCCGTGAAATTATAAAATAATGAAGGATGTCGTCTACGTTACTCATAGATAAATAACCTTTCTAATGGTGAAAGAATTTTTGAAATCGGCCCACTAGTTTTGAGGTATTTCAATACATACAAAAATACAAATCTTTCCTCTTTATAATATTAGTATCTTTTATGTAATTCCAGTACTACTAGCTGGTTATTTTAACAATCTTATCTACTGTATTCAAATACTATTTGTACAATTAATAAATATGGAAAATTTCTTCCAAGAATAAAATTTCATATTTTATAATACTTTTTAAAAGAAAAGATTAAATTTAATGTTTATTAAAATGCCATTTACTCTTTGATGTTAATATACAGTTTAAATGTTGTCGCCGCTTTTGAAATATCGTCCACTTTACTCGATAACCGTGAAGGAAATTGGCTAATCGTTTCTAATATATCCATTAGTGTAAATTGTTTAACATCAAAGAAATGAGACGAAATAGTAAAGATGGCTTATATCTATACTATTATAATAAAGTGTAAACACACACTTCTTTGTTGCTTAACATGTCAGCAACTACAGCATATTTTTGAATTACTCTTTCTTCAATAAAAAGCCTTACACTTCCGTTACTCTTTAGGCTATATATTTTCACGTCATTACACTTAGGGGTAAATATTTTGGATAAAAACCCTAATGTGGAAAAGAGACCATAAGTTGCTGTCAACATGAAGGAATCAAGGTTGCCATGGTTTGACATTATGTCATGTCATTTTGACATTTGCAATTGATAATTTGATTAATGTAAAATTGTTCATCGCAATAACGTCGCTTAATTTATGTACATACGATATTCGAATAATACAAAATCACTTTGGAACGGCAGGATTCGAACCCAAAACCTGCAGATTACAAGTCAAGTGTTCAAATCCCTTCATCATTCCAAAGGATATCTACACTAAGAGGCTCCGAACTTACTTTAAATCAAGTGACCAGGTCAGAATATGGTCGTCTTTGATCACCTTTATGTTCCCTCTGCACATTTACCTCCACCTCTCATAAAAAGAAGAGTAAGAGATTTCAATTTTTGCCTTACCTTATTTGTATGCAATATACTTATATAAAATAAATTTCAAACTATGCAGATCCAATTTAAATTCCCAAATGTATGTCTAATCATAAATTAACCGCAGGGACATTTTATTTTTAACTAACAAAAATTTATTACAAACGTATTTTAGTTTTAAAATAAATGCATCCATTACTGCTTCGCAAAATGGCGGATCAAACGATTAAAAGATATCAATAAATATTAATACCATTTGGACTTAAAAGAGATTATAAATTCAGTTAGGACGATGGATATAATTTTTAATTAATGGCAAATTTCTTTCCCTGATGTTTATACGGCAGTTTCTAAATGTTATGACAGCATAACCTCTTTGATATCGATTTGACACTTATTAATAGTGATTTTACCGCCATTTCGCGCTTACCGAACTCATAATGGCGGCTAAACAACACGTATTTAGAAAATATTTATACATCCTGTCCACCATTAGGATACGTATTTTACTAATTTTACTAAGCGCGAAATAATCATAAATTATATTTTAATGTTTCCGGACGTTCGCCGCCGATGTTGCCGTATTAAAAATGAATAGCGGGTTCTTAAAGTATTTCGCACTGGCAACACTGACACCGTAGGAAGCGGATACGTCTATTATATCATCTGGGAACATGAAAATTTCAGTATAATGGTCACGAGGAAATTATAAAATGTTTAATTTATATGAAGTTTATTTGTATTCAACGTTCTTTTCTTGTTTATACGTGGAGTTGTTAAAAACATATTGGGTGTAGTCATTATTTTGAAAAGTTTATTGGACTATAAGCATTGGTTGCGCGCGTAAATTCTGACAAGGGGTACATTAGGAGATAATTCTGAAGTTTACGCAAATGTTCCGACTACCCACGTTAATTATAATATTCACTAAACCGTTTCTCAGAACTATTGGAAACGAATAGTAAAATTGGTTTGTTATTGAAAGATTTATGATCGTAGAACGGCAAGCTTCCTCAAATAAGTTATGAAATTATTGTGCCTATCTACATATCATATTTATGACTAGCTTTTGCTTCCGAATTTGTTCTTGTAAAATAAAAAATACCAGTAAAAGCTTAGTTGAATAGTACAATTATACAACTTTGTTATATTCTTTCAATAAAAAGTAGTTTTCAAAGACTATGGTTTTAACTACATGCCTTTGTTACAGTCAAAGACCATCTCCAGAATTCTGACATCGAAGCTGATGATGTGGAAACAGATGATCAAACTTCCAACATGGACGACGACCTTCTAACACAATCAGACTTGGACGAGAATGGAGATCCAAAGAGTCCCATCAGTTCATCATCCAAGAAAGGCAAGGGAGGGTCCTCGAGGGACTCCAAAGGGGGGACTAAGCCTCGACGAGCAAGGACCGCGTTCACATACGAGCAACTTGTCTCATTGGAGAATAAATTTAAAACGACTAGATATCTGTCCGTGTGCGAGCGGCTTAATCTAGCATTGAGCTTGAGTTTGACGGAGACACAGGTATGTAAATAGTTTTATAATATTTCAAAGTCTTATAATATTGATTACCCATGGGAATTAAACGTAAAAGATACAGTAAAGTGGACTTCTTAATTAGCTGATTAAAATATGACGCTCTCACACAATTTTCTTTAATTAGATCTTAACTGAAAGTAGAGTAGTAAATCTCCGAAACAAACTTTGAACTTGCCTTGTCCGTAAAAATTTGTCAGTTTTTTCGCCTTCAAATGTAAATTTTGATCCTTTTATCACTTTTTTTCCAGGTCAAAATCTGGTTTCAAAACCGCCGCACCAAATGGAAAAAGCAAAACCCGGGGATGGATGTGAACAGCCCTACGGTCCCGCCGCCGTCCGCGGGTGGATTCCCGTCGGGGCCTTACCCTGGGGGCCTTCTGTACTCCCATGGAGTCCCTTACCCGTTCACAGGGCCTGGGCCCTACGCGCCGTACTTCCACCACCTGGCTGCCAACCATCACCACACACACGGAAGTCTAGGGCACTCACACACGTGATTGTGGTCCCGCCCTGCGGACGCTAGGGTAGAGAAAGAAACCGAAAGTGGACTATCGAATTAGTGTATCGATGTTTATTAATAGTGCAATTTGTAATTTAAGATATTAATCGATTGTGATACATACGATAAGGTTTATTTAAAATCAAGCATTTTTATTTATATCTTCAATACAAACACATGATTCCGTTTTTACTGTCCGTAGATATGTATCTTATTTCGTACGCAATAGCACAATTTTAAACTAAAATGATGTGCCAATGGTGCTTTCTGACATTACGCGATGTAGGATTTGCATCAAGCGGCTTGTTGCGCGCTGCTTATTAAACCTGTTTTATTAAACTGACTGAGAGTGTACGCACACCTTAGAGTAAACTATCGCACAACTGTTTAGTTCCGCTTTGACCTCTATGAGCTGATATGGAGGTGCGCACACTACTCGATTTTTAGTTGTGATGTGCCAACTCGGGAAAAACGTAACTCGATTTAACTCGAGTTAAAATCCACATAACTCAGGTTGAACTCGAGTTACGTAATTCGAGTTAACCATCACTAAATTTTAGTTGTACAACTAAACAGTTGAATTGGCTGCGAAACAATTGACAATCGCACAACCGTTGTGCGATAGTTTAGTTAAAGGTGTGCGCCTGCTCTTAGCAACGACAGTCAGTACGAATCTTTAGTGAAAACGGATGTTAGTAAGATTGTATTCTATTTGCGTTATATTTTTCACATAATTTCTAAATAAAAAAATTATCTTGTATAAAAACTTACCCGAGCTTTTTTTTCATAATATTTTCATACTTCATTTCGTTTTCTAAGTATTGATAAATAAAAATAATTGTACATAAGACGATCGCTTTACATAATTTAATATTTAATTAATGGTGTAAATTGAAATGTGTCTGTTTTTGGCAGAACCGTAGTCAAAAATATTTAATCTGTCGAATTCAATCATTGTGTAAATAAAAAAGTGTAAAAAGATAATTTTTGTAAATAATATGAATACTGTAATTTAAGCTTTATATTTATTATTTTACTGTCTACTTATAATACAGATAATTTTCAATAATTCCTCCTTTTAACGTGCGAACAATCTGTAGATACAGTTCCGGATTAACGCTGTTTAAATATTTGGTTGCCTCTTTAATTCTTATTTATTTTATATTTCATATCGAAAATAGTACTTTCATAAATCTAATGCTCCAATACGTTAAGTAGCGCCAGTGGTGTAGAAGTTGAGAAGCAAAAGGTTAGCGTGGTAACAAGTGCGACGAGACGATGGGGACATAAACCAGAAAGTGTTAAGGTTGAATATGGCTACAAAGGTAGAAGAAGACCGAAGAAAGTATGGATTGTGTGAATGAGGATATGCTTAAGAAAGGAGTGGATTCAGATATGACGGCTGATAGAGATGTATGGAAGAGCAGCACATACTGTGCCGACCCTCCGTAAGGGATAAGGGCAAGTGGATGTATATATCCAATACTCTATTGTTTTACTTACAAATCATTTTACACCTGCCTGTGCTCATTATATGTAAATCATTAATAGTTATTGTTAAATATTGTAAAATACTAATATGTACTATGAAGACGGACATTGTACAAGCTAAAAAGGACCTAAATCAATGGAGTTATAATTTAAATTAAATACAACGAAACTGCAGAAGACATTTAAAGATTTTTACCACAGATAATACAAAAGTTTTTACAAAATATCATGTAAATGTTTTTTTCAGACTTGGAATTAGAATACTTCCATTTTGAAGTTAAATTAATATTGACATTTAGTTGTTTTCTTTGTGTTTTTGGAATAAATAATTGTTAGTAGGTATAAAAATGCTGTTTTTCCGCCGTGTCCGTTTACATAAGTTATAATGTAATAAATTGATGCTCAATGCTCTACATACGAGTGGCCGAGGATGGATTTCAATTTGTAAACTTGATGTTGATATTAAAATAGTTTACAGTTCATAATTGTTTTAATTTCTTACCCAAACATGAAATTCTTATTTATAAATTTGTTCTACATTAGTTAGTAAATAAGGTTATGTGAAATTTTGTCTGGGTTATAAGTATTTTTTTATAACATAAGGTGGCAAGGAGCAAGCGGCCACCTGAATCCGCCAAAATGGCGAAACAACCGCTGCCTATAGACATCCACAATTGCAGATGCGTTGCCTACCATTATACGACGGAGGAGGAGACGCACATAAAGAGGATATTTCCCCTTCCTACGCATTTTCTCCACCGTCAAATCCACCACCCTTTCGCATCCTCTTCTTATAAGAAAAGGGTGGTAAAGAGAAAGGGACTTAAATTGGGCCTCCAGCACCACACTCATCAGAAGAAACACGAAATTGCTTCCATTTCACGCCTGTCTTCTGTATGGTCGTGGTATTACACCGGGCATGCCGGCCTATTCGTGCTAAGATGTTAAAGCGGCCAGTACCACTGTCAGATAATCCGAGTCTCGGGATTTGCATGTGAAGGCAGCGGTTAGCCCTACTAGTGAGATGGGAAATTTAAGAGTATGTACGTAATTCTCAGGCCTGTGGCACGTCTTTCTATCACACGGCATTGGACTGGACTTGACAATTGCACGAAGACCTTATTATTGTGTACTGAATTATTCCTTTTTAAAAGGGTAGGTAAACGAGCGACGGGAACACAAAGGTGATCAACGATGCCTATGGATGTCAGCAATATAAGAGGAACAACAGATGCGTTGCTGGCTATTGAGGAAAAGGGACGCTCGCTTCTTGAAGGACCCTAAACTATGCTATAAAACAAACATATTAAAATAAATCTTTACGTACTAAATCCGTAACCTAATGTGTTAGTAGGTACAGATTACTTTGTCATTTTAGTGGACCTTTTACGTCTACTTATATGTAGATGCAAAATCACTATTTATTATTGGCAAATAATATTAGCTGAAAGAAACCGCGCGCACACCTTTGAATAAACTATCGCACAATTGTTGATTGTCGATTGTTTTGCAGCCTTCAACTGTTTAGTTGCACAACTAAAAATCGAGTAGTGTCCGCACATATAAGCGAGAATAAACAGTTGTGCGATAGTTGAGTCAAAGGTGTGCTCGCGCTTTTAATCGTCGACTGAGTAGTGTAGCTTGACATATAGACAGATTTTAGTATCAGGAACGGGCGTGATGTGATACGTTAATGTGAATTGTAAATTTGCTTAGCTCAGAATAGATGCTACGCTTTTAGTACTAAACAGACACGGAACACCTTTTCATATTTGTAAAATATTGTTATGACAAATATTAATATTTACACGGCAACCATTGCCTACAGATAATTGTTAGAATTTGACAAGAATTATGGAATGTATGGAAGAATATATGCGTACGAAGATAATGAATTTAAATATGACTGACTAGCTTACACCTGCGACTCCATCCGCGGGGAATTAAAAAAAAGAAAGAGCCTATGTGTTCTTCCGGACTACGCTCTACACTTTACCAGTATGCCAAATTTCATCGAGATCCGTTTAGCAGTTTAGGCTACAAACTCTAACAAACATCCATCCATCTGAACTTTCGCATTTATAATATTGGTAAGAAGTAAAATAGAGTAGTATGAATGTGTAGATGTTTGTAAATGTATAAAGCGATATATCGCTATAAGCGATAATTAGTTTAGTGGTACCAAATGTTACTTTTCGTGTATGTTCATTGAAACTCCTATCTGTTACAGATAAATATGTTACATATTGTCATAAACTAACCTCAATCTGCTCAGAAAAAAAACCCGTCATCATCGAACAAACGAGTCCATAAAACTTCTTGATTGATGTGTCGCGGCGATCGCCGGAATCCATCAAGCTAACTAGCTTAAAATGTGTCAACCGGTTTTTTCATCCACGTTCCCGCCGGCGCCTTTTGAGCGCGCGAAAACAAGATGGCGACGCGTCATCTGTCATTTTTAATTGTATGTCAAACCGCGGGCGTTCGGAAACGCGTCGCTTCGCCGCGTGTATATTTAGTTTATTGCGTTATAAACGGAGCTATTATTGTGGTGGAGATGCCCTCATTAGATTCGCATTTTGTTTGGCTTAAGTTACTAATGATCGAGACGGCTACTGTATAAAATTAGTGTAATTATATCGCATGTCCCTTCTATTTTAATTAAGACTTCTATTTTTAAATCTTGTCAACATTTAAAGAAATAGTTCTATTTAATTTTTTCTAACCTGTTTGGCAAAACTGTTAGATATCATAAGTTTCAGATAGATTTTACCTCTCAAAATAAATATGGATATCTTAATATTATTTTGTTGTTTTAGACAATAGTTCTTTAGACTAGCCACTTTATATTGGAATATGTTGTTAATACAGATCCGCCCACGGGCGCCTAAATATTTATAAAAAGGATTTGAAATTGTCTATAACATCTAAATGGACGGACGTCACATGTTTTATAGCCAACTCTAACACGTTCACAATCCCCGACAAGCGAACATCAAAGCCGCTATCAGTGACGACGTATAAATAAGTCCTTTGAACGAAATAACAACATTTCTACTCCTTCAAATGTCTCAATTCAGACCGGACCGGCGTCTCCTCAACTGAGGACACCTTACCGCGTTTATTTCACAATAAACTGAATATATCGCTTCTGTTCGGACATTTTCGACAGCCAACAAGTGGCAATTAAAAGTGACAAATGGTATGAGTTATGTGTCGCTAGTGTCGACGCCGGCTTGTTCCACCGCGTCGACTTTGACAGCGCTCAACCTGCCCGCCTCTCTCTGATCTCTTCACCGTTCGCTTCATTCTTTACTACTCACAATGAGCTCTTAAGATTAAATTATAACTTTTAAAGCAATATATGCTTTAAGTGTTGATGTATAAAGATTGTTTGGCGACTTTATACGCGTTTGCTGGTAGTTATACTTTGACGGATGTCCGTTTAAAAAATAAAGATAAAAGCGAACATTTTGTGTGGTTATGACGCGTGACGGCTGGCTGTATAGCAATACGCCTTGTCGTCTAGTACATTAAAGAGCGATAAATGTTCTCGCAAAATATAAAAAACGTGATTCAAACTACGAGGGCGGAGCAATATCGTTTGTGATTAGTGTCATATGTTGGACAGAAATAAGCTACGCTGTTTGGAATCGTACGATGTTATTTTATAAAACGTACTGAACAATTATAAAATATTATATTATTTTTGAGTTATTTATTGCGGTCACTTCTTATAAAAAAAGTCGGCTACAATTTGTCGTAATGTAAACTTTGGGATAGCTTTATCCGTGTCGTTTATGCGCACAATTTTTCCGAAACAAATTGCCTTGCAGATTGAAGTCGCGTAAATAAGAATGTAATTGACTCTTTCGAGAATAAACATGCTGTTTTGTTTTTAAAACTTCACATTACGTATGATGTTTTTTGTGTAGAGAAACTAACGAAGTCATTGTCGGGGCAAAATATGTCCAGATAAAAATGAATTTACGTTCTTAAAAATACTATAACCTTTTTCTTTAGTCATGATAGTCCTAGCATAGTTAATACTATGTATAGGCCGTTACCGTTACCGTCTTAAATTATGTAACTTGCGCATAAACTACCTAAATCTTACTTCTTCCTTTGAAAAACTGAGAGAATAAACCAGTTTTAATCAAATATTTACGCAACTGACACCTACTAAAGACCGT